AAAATTGCAAGACTCTGTCAGATGTTTTTGGGAAATAGTCCCAAAATGAGTGAGGTAAATCCATGGGATGTCTTGTGTCTTGCTGATAGTGACATCTGAGACAAAAGATACTCATTTTCAAGGTGCTAATATGTTTATATGCATCTCCGTAGTAGTACACTTGCGTTTGTGCAACATTAGAGGTAATATTTGTTTTTGCAAGAGTTGGAAATTAGATTCTCTTCTTTGTCTCCAAGCTCAGTCTCACACACTGGAAAGATGTAATTTTATATCTCAGCTGGGGTACACTTTCCCTCTGGACTGTAACATGAAGTAGACCATTTTCTCTCATTTTCTTTCTGAGACAAACTTACAAGACAAAACTTTGAAGCCTTTCACAGTTTTTTACATCACATTTTTTTAAATGTTATATCATACACAACCCTTTAGATTTGAAGGGAATCTCTCTCTCTCTCTTTTTTTTTTTTTTTTTTTGCCATTTAATGTCGGTCTGCATGAGCGTTGCTGTGATGGTTTAAATGTTGCTATGGAAAAAAAGACACCATGCATTATGACCAATAAGACTATTTATTCAAATACCTGGAATGGGACAGTGATAATGGCTTTTGTGAGGTTTATTAGGTACAGTGAGCAAAGCTAAGAGACGACTTATTGGGCCTGATTAATGTGTGTTTAATATGTGTTTGTCATTGTAAAATACTTTTATTTGTGATGCCAAAATCAACAGAGCAAAATGAGGTAGTGATCTATTTATGGGCTGTTCAGAGAACTTCATTAGAGGACAATACGACTGGCAGGAAATGTCGTGTTTTGATGAGGTTTATAATGACAGTAAATGAAAAAATCACATTAAATTCTGTATTTACGGGTTTGAAGTTGTGGCTTCAAATGATGGTAGTTCCAGATCCTCTGCCATCCCATCTCACAACTGCACAGCAACAGTTTCTGTTGCCATGGTAATGCTTGTGGTTTCTTATAACCACTGCTTTTATATACATTAAACTGAACCCATTAAATTGTTCTCAGGAATGTCACATAAACACAGCCAATATATATGCACTTTTGATCAATACTTTTTATTCCATGCTGTACTGCTTTAAATTCTAAAACTTTGAACATATTAATGTAATAAGATGGGTTATACTGTAGCTTTATGACTTTATGATGGATTTAAGCTCACTCTGTTTTGCTCGGGTCGCAATAATCCTGTTTCACAGTGTCATGTTGCATTTCACATTTTTTTTGCAGAAGTTTCTTTGAAATGTCTCAGATAAGCTACACAGGTGTTTTCAGGTGCTGTACAAATACATTTTAATTCAGAATTGTTTTTCTCTTCAGGTGTACATTTTACATTACACTAGTTAAGAAAAAAAAGATCTGTCAGTTAAATATGAGGTAAATATTGTTTATCTTCAAGAATCTAAACAAGGTTTTGATGAATGATAAATGGAGGACTGATAGATATGGTATATTGTAGGTTTTAACGCAATTCTTCTTTGCTCTTTTTATGTCTTTTATATCTATTCACACTGCAATTTAACAAACTGCTGTTATAAACGGTGGGTTTCTTTCCTCTTCGGTGGCAGGATGTTTCTTTTCTTCTGTTCACTTTTACATCTCAAGTCATCATTGTGATCCATTAGAAGTGTCATGGGAAGCATAGAATAACAGGGGAGTGGCTTAGTATTTTCCTCCACTCTATTACATGGCTAGGATTTAACTGAGGTCATATGCAGTGCAAACAGTCACATTCATTTTTGAGGTATTTTGTATTTTCTATAATAGATGAACCATTAACCAGTTCAGGCATATCATATCACACATCACTCATGAGTTTTCATTTAAATAATTGCTATTTCCTGAGAGGTAGGCCAGGCACATTCTAAGACTGATTGCATACTAGTTACAGACTGCATTTGATGAGGGTCAGGTAATCACGAGCACGTTCAATGTATTTCTGTTTGAGTTCACGTGAAGAGCCTTTCAGAGCCCCTTCAGAGGTGCATAAGTGCATTATTACAGAAGACATGATCCAAGCTGTGGACAGCATGACAAGACATACTTAACTTCAATATTTATTAAATAGCTGTTGTGATCTTGTGCACAAGAAACATGGCATTTTATTGTTGAGAGCAAGGGCACAGTGAGGTTCACTTTGAAGATTTCGACAAGATTTGAGGAATAGATGGAGGAACTACACTGTAAAAAAACAAATCCTTACAGCAACTCCATCGAACAAACACGTGCTAATTAGTTAATGGCTTGGCAGTCGAGTGAACCACTAACGTTACTGAGTTACATAAAAACCTACACAATTTAAATTGTATTAATGTAATTGCAATGTTTTAAAGTTTACGTGACTACTACCAACAATCCAAACTTATTTTATACTGAACAGCTATCGAAAATGTAATAGTAACGTAATATGGCAGACAGGTCACACTTTCAAGATGAAAAAAAAAAAAAAGTTAGTTACCCAGCTAACGTTAAAGTTAATCGTAACTTTGGACTCAAAAAGCAAATTCCGTAGCATAGAATTGAACAGATATTTATCCCTTTTGAAACGTCACAAAATAAAAATAACAGTTACACAATGAAAGATCTTAATGACTGGTAAAAGAATTATTGGATGTACCAGGATTTCACGTTTTAACTGAGGCATGAATTAGTAGATACACTCACCTCACCTCACCTCGCCTCGCCTCGCCTCACTCTCACTCTCACTCTTTTGATGTCCTCTTCTCTACTAACCGCTGTGTTGGCAACTTCTATATCGTAGCGTGCAGGAGCCACAATTCATAGCAAAATACAGTAATGCTGTAAATTTCTAAATACAGTGGTCTATTGTAAATATTTACTGTAAAAATTACAGCAATTCTTTACAGTGTAGGATTCAGCAATATGATAAGGACTTACACTGGGCTGATGGACAAACAATTATATTACATCATGTGTGACAGGAATTGCCTGAGGATGCAAGTAATCCATATATGAGAATATGATCATCTCTAGTTCAACACCATGGGAGAGGTTTTTTCACTGACCTTTCTGTAAGATCAAAGCTATTTCAAGTATATTCTTGGTTTTCTTATCTGCATACAGAATTAATAAATATATGAATGAGTTTAAAAGAGTCTTGGTTTTGTCCTGTTTTTGGCATTTAATGTAACCAGTATACCCTGTAATCGTCTGTATCAGTTCATCTAGCCTGTCTGGGAGTAGACATTTCTCCATCCTTTTTGTCATTTGTGGAATGAAAGCTTTTTTATTTCAAAAACACATTTGTGTTGCCAAGTCTACAGTCTTTCTGTGGAATTGGGTCGCCGTGATTTTGCCAAGTAAGACATGTTCCTGGATCAACATCTTTTGATTATCCTGGATCAACATTATTGTCCAAAAATATAGACTTAACCCAATCCCAACCCCTAAAACTTACCTTACCCATAATTTATTGCTAAAATCAGAGGGAAATGATAGCTGATTAACAAGGGAGTAGAAGCACCTAACCCTGATTTTAAGCCTAAAACAGATATTTCCTGAAAAGTTATATCTCAATTCTGATTGGCTGATTGGAATGTTGTTTCAGGATCAACAAGGATGTTGATCCAGGAACATGTTGTACTTGGTGAAATCACGCTCACCGAGGTGGGCACACTAACAAGAAGGCTAAAGACTGCAGCCACTTGTGTCAGTTGCTAGCGTGCCTCTTGAGATCAGGGGAGTGAGGTTTACCTGCACAGCAGCTACCAGCTGGCCTCCATTACACTAAATTTCTCCAAATCTATTTCTGATGAGGAAACTCCTTCTGATCCGAAAACTACATTTCGGATGGCCTGAGGGTGAGTACTTTTCAGCATAATTTTTTAAAGCACAAACAAGCAAACCATTTGAAAGCATGCCCAACTTTATTTAGCATCTATGGCTATGGTGCATTAACTTTGTATTAATTAAGCCATTCATGAAAATGTTGTTACAAACACCTTGTTGGACCTGAGGGGTTGCTTCTATTTTTTATTCCTTAATAAACACATTTATACATATAAATAAATGTCTGTCTTGAGGTAGAATGCTTCAAGGGGCAGATAATAGTTTTGGCAATGAAAAATTTCCAAGTGCTGATCAATCTACAGATTCATTTTGCTCATTGCAGTCTGCATTGATAAATGGCTTCTGCTGAGGCACTCAGGCAAAATTCTTAGATTTGTTTTCATGAGAGAGATTAAAGCACCTTTCATTGTATTACATGAATTGATTGAGTGATTCAGTTTATACCTTAACAATAAAATAGATGCTCACAATAAATTACAGATACCCAACAGCTGCTTCTGATTTATGCTGAAAACAGCATGTTCACCAGTTCACACTAAATTGACTGCCTTATAGTCCCCATTTCTTGTCTTTAATAATGAAGAACATTCTGTCAGGTCAGATGGGCTATATCTCATTAACTGAGACGTTTTGAGTCCAATGTCCAGTTACACAAGTAAAAATTCCAATATCATCATATTTTTTATAATGGCTCTTGGGCAAAACAGAGAATATGAGCTAACATAAATTATGTAGCCTATACTGGCAGACTCCCTTGGACCAGAAACTCATGTTCTAAAAACCAACAGGGATAATTCACCCAAAAAGTTTCGAAAATGATGATAGCATTTTTCATTTTTCGGTGATCTATCCCTTTAAGCTATGACATTTTTTTCTTTTTTTCCCTAGCAAGGACATATGTCCAATGCATTCTGACATTCTAATTCTAATTTATTTTAATGAAAGAAATAATTCTTTAAATACTGTATGTGTTCAGTATTTAAGCTACAGCATCCCACTTGAAAATGTATGCAATGCAGTGCCTAAATGTGTCTGTCTATGAATATTACACAGAAACAACCTTATTATTTAACATTTATATGTATGAAGATTATGTCATCAATCTCAAAGGCATACTCTGACTCATATTGACTGCTTTATAGGCAAAAGCAGTCAATATGGCACCTTCAACTTCATATGAGGACCAAAACCCTTTCGAGACATGCATGATGTCTGAGAGACAAACCTTTTACAGTGAAGACGACGATAATGTTTAGTCAGCTACATTTCTTACGGTACGTTGCCGCCGCAGCAGCGCAGAATTCTCTTCTATTCCTTACGGTAAGTGCGCGTGGCTTGTGTTGGTTTTGCGTTTGTCACTCACAGCTGTAGCACGCGAGCGGCGCACTACATCAAGGTAGTAAACAACAGCTTGTCTGCGAGAAAAGGTAAAAATGGATAATGATTTCTCTTTCTTATGAAATGCTGGCTGCAGTTTTAATAATTCTACGTTTAAAATCAAGCTTTATCGCTGTTGGTTTTATTCAAAGAGAGCAAAAGTGTTACTAGGACAATTTTCTTTTTTGAAGGCAGGGAGTGTGTGTACACGGTTAGTCACATTCTCTCTGTTTGGTCCGATTAATAAAACCCTGGAAACAACTTGTACGGCAATTAAATGCTTACCATTTAAAGTATTTTTCTGCTTAAGCTTTAGACTAAAGAGATTAACTGGTTGGCATTGAAAAGTTAGCGAATAAATCAACTGTCTTCCAAGCTCGACGTGCTCTGTGCCGTCTGTCATAATACATATAAACTGACTTTGGACATTTTATTTGACGGGTTGTAATAAAATTAATAGAGACTACACGAGTAAGTAAAAGTAATGGGAATAGTTTGAAACAATTTTGCAAGCCAAGCTTACAGTAGGCTACAACATGGACAGATGCCTGTTGAGGGCACTTTGGGAGGTTTTAAGTATAGGCTATTTGTAATTCTTTACTAAAATCAGTGCATTTTGCGTCATCTGATATATGTATGTACATGCCTAAAGTGCTTTTAAAATTCTTGATATTAACGATTTTATAATGTTTTAGTGGTTTTACTGTCTTTTTATATTGCAGTAGCCTATTTGTATGTTGTATATTATTGCAGTATTAGAGTATGTTTTTATATGTCAACATTAATGTAAAGTGTTTTGACATCGTCTCTTTGTTATGGAGACAGAATTACTTTCTGATTTGTATTATGGACATGCTATACAAACAGTTTTTCATCATAAACTACTTTTATTCTTTAGGAGTTTGGGATAGACAGTTAGTATATTAAATAACAAAATGTCGTCTGTTAATGTTACTTCTCTTATACTCTTATAATTGGCTGTTGATGTAGAAATTTTCATTATGCAGTGGATGAAAATCGAAATCCAGTCTTACTGTTACACCTAACACCTATTTGATAACACAGAAACCAGTGTTAACAGTCTTATCTATTTTTAAAGCACTCAATGCATCAGTGGTTAGGGACAGGGTTTCAGAGGGTAAACACAACAACTGGTCTCATTTTGCTTGCTTTTAAAGTGTTTTGAAATAATGTGTAGTTATGTTTAATTGGGCTTTATTTGATCCAAATTCCATCTACACTGCACAGATGCAATTTAACCTAATGACACTCTCATCTAGACTTGTCTATAACTAAGTTTGATAGTGACCCTAAAGGATTTGCCACTGATGATTCAAACGCGAGTTTTGGGCAGTGTAGAGTAGTGCTTGTTGTTTGTCATTTCTCCGATCACAAATGCAGACAGGGTTTTATGTTTACGCGGCGTGATGCAATGCAACGTGTAAAAAGAGAGTATAAGTCATTATAATAAGTAATTATGTCCCCACTGGATGCAACAAATGCCTCGTTTGTAATGGGTTTTAATGTTTTTGTCTCGTCGCTGCTGTTCTCATTGGTAAAGGGTATTTCTTAAATTAATTAATGAATATAATACGTTTTACACCACAGTGCCATATGGGTTTCAGCACCTAGATACAACTTTAGTTTTTCTTATGTTTCATGTAAAAGTCATTGAGAAGAACAAAGAACAAATTTTGCTATATATAATATATATATATATATATATACACACACACACAGTGATGGACAAAAATATTGGCACCCCTGCATTTCTGTCAGATAATTCACTATTTCTCCCAGAAATTTGTTGCAATTACAAATGCTTTGGTATTCTCATGTTTATTTCTTTTGTTTCCATTGGAACAACACAAAAAAGCAGAGAAAAAAAGCCAAATCTTTATGTAATTAAATACTAATGTAATTAAACTCACCTGTAGCAATTCACAGGTGCTGACAGAGTTGTCGGCGATTCTTCCTATTGTAAAGTCATGCAGTGTGTAACCTCCTGTCGCCGATCCATCGTGCAATGTGAACACAGCAGCGACTGACTGCTACCTCAGATAGTCGTGCAGTGTGAAAACAACGGTGACCCGACGACTTTGAAAATCGTGCAGTGTGAACTCGGCATTAAAATGGGGAAAAGTGGTCTCATCCTTTGTATTGTGTGTCTATGTGTACCACACTGAACATGGAGAAAAAAAGAAGAGTAAAGAATTGTCTGAGGATTTGAGAACCAAAATTGTGGAAAAGCACGGACAGTCTCAAGGCTACAAGTCCATATCCAGACATATTAATATTCCTGAGTCCACTGTGTGCAACATTGTCAAGAAGTTTAAAGCCCATGGCACTCTAGCTAATATCCCTGGATGTGGATGAAAGAGAAAAATTGATAAAAGATTGCAACAAAGGATTGAGAGGCAAAGGATTCAAAGAGTGGATAAAGAACCTCGGTCAACTTCCAAACAAATACAAAGTTGACCTGCAGGAACAGGGTACCACAAGTGACAGCTCGCAATATCCATTGCCATCTGAATGAAAAGAGACGCTACAGTAGGAGACCCAGAAGGACCCCGCTGCTGACACAGAAACATAAAAAAGCCAGATTGGAGTTTGCCAAAATGTACCTGAGGAAGCCAAAATCCTTCTGGTTCACTGATATTTTGAGGTTGCTTTGCTGCCTCAGGCACTGGATGTCTTGACTGTGTGCATGGCATTATGAAATCTGATGACTACCAAAGAATTCTGGGGCAGTTAACAGGGATTTCCTCTCAGTTCACAATGCTGCACTGGTACGCCATGGCGTTTAAAAAAAAATTTTTTTATTCTTAACGTGTGCATAATTCAAAACGGTTTACCGTTTGAACCGGTGTATCGCCCAGCACTAATATAGATGAAATATTGATTCAAATATAGAGTATATTTTCCTGATAAAACATTGATTTGATAAAGCCCTACCCAAGATCCTGAAGGCTTACTGAGTTCAGGTAAAGACTTATAAATGGACAAAGTAGAAATATATATATATTTTTTCAATGCCTTTAACAGTTGACGGTAGCTTCTAAATGAAATGTGACGTTCCTCACTATATGGAAGTACATTACAAAAAACACTCTTAATTGGGTCAGTCCCCTGTGCTCTGTCGGACTTCCTTAACCTGCTTCACATTAATTAATCATTTTCTCTGTTCCTTAGATCTCTGTAGATGCATGGTGGAATGTGTATCTGAGATTTTATCTGAAGACGCTGGACCATATGTTCAGAGAGTTGGATTTTGAATTGTGCGTCCAACTCTATTGACTAGAAGTATGTAGTTTACATCTGGGTTTGTTTCATGTTTTGATATAATATTTGTAAAATAACAGCATGTTTATTATCAGTAATATTAGATTTTTTTTTTCCTGAAAATCTCATCTGTATACTTTTACGATTAATATTTGTTCTAAATAAGATGTGAAGTGTAACACGTGAAAACACAAAGGTTGTACTTCAACCTTGAATTGCTCTAAAGGAAAATCACTTTTTTTATGGAATGACCATACTGGTCAAGGCCCAGATTAATTGTTCTAACTGTTTTATTGCATTAACTTCTTTCTAATTAATTGCAATTCATTAATGCAATAAATTACTTGCAGCCATCATTTTTCATGGTCACATGAGTCAATACAATCAGGACACTTAAGATAGTATTGAATGAAATGCTTCCTAAATCCTCTTTAGACATTGTGTCGTTTTGCTGTAGAAAAGCATTTATGTGAGGCCTTGTACTGAATCACTGAGGAAGATGCATGCTGTGCTTCATGAAGTGAAACATTAACAGCCCTGATTGAGGTAATGGCTCTGTGCTTAGTCAGATGACCGGATCATCAGTAACCCAAGGCCAGAAAAGGGCCAGAAGGAAACTTTGTTCCCATTCAATGGTACATTTTTATGTATAAGGTTAGGAGTGTGAGGGCTGTGGATTTGTATTACAGTAGGGCGAACACATTTTTGGTTTCACCTGTAGTACTATATGTCGAGGCTGATGCTGGCGAAGGAAATATACAGCTTTTTTTTTTAAGCAATATGCATCCAAAGTTGCCAATAGCAAATGTCTCTTTGCCTTCCTGTTGCTGCTAGAATCAGATTAAAGTGTAAAGCCAACGATTTTAGTCTTATCATCTTCACCACCAACACCCCACCCATCCCAGCCATGGCATTTAGCTGCATCTGGCAGACTAACACTCCCATCTCTCCACATAAAAGCCCTCATCTGTCTCAATCTATAATTTTGCCTTACAGTTTCGTTCAATCCTTGCACTTGACGTCGTCATCATCATGTGACACTATATGATCTTTCTTATAAGATCATTTGGCATGAAAACACAGAAAATAAGTATAAACAAAAAGGGAAAAGCATCCAAGCTTGTCCAGATAATAAGCATCTTGTTTACTGAACAAGTTTAAAAAATATGCATTACATCATCTGTTTAAATATGGTTTGTTATGGCCAATATTGTAAAGTAGAGGTACAGATGGCGGGTCGATTAAGGTTAATGATAAATGATGGTTTTATATGTTGCTTAGTTTCTAATGTTTCCATTTATTTGGCCAGTGTTTACTCTGTGTATTAAATTATTTTACAGTCTTCATAGAAGAATTTTGGAGGTTTTGAGTTAACTTCCTGTTTTGATTATCATTTTGACTTTGATGTGGCAGATGCTGTGTTTTCATTCAAAGAGCACAGTGAAGTACTTCTCACAATATCGGCTGGTCCCCTGTCACATATTAGGAAGGGTAATTATTTGATTTACTAAATTTCCATTCAGATCAAAGTATTTATTTTACTATAAATAGCCAATTGACCCTTCATCATTCTTCAGTGTCTAAGATATGAAGATTCCTATGGCTTGGGAGGCTC